AAATCTAATCCCTACACCTGAGTAAGGGGAGGGCTGCTCTAGTCCTTCATTAGCGTAACATTGGGCAGGGAAGACAAGCTGTTACTTGTCAATGACTTGCGTTTCATTGGTTGGTACGGCAACTTTTCAACAGGTAAACCATCATTTCAAGGTGGATGACATCCAAAGACGTAAGGAGCAGTCATTCACTCTGTCCCTACGTGCAGCACAGGGTGTAGACTACTTTACCCAAAACAGCCACTCTAAATTTGGTTGATTGCTGCTGATGTACCTGTTCTGTCGTTGAATGGCACAGTGTTTTTCGAATATGCCTCAGTGTACGGCGAAGTATACTCTCCCATTGTGAGGACTCCGGCATATCCTCAGCCCGAAAGGAATCCCCAGCTTCTTCAAGTGGCTTGTCTCTCATACCTTGAAGGCTCCTGGTCCTTTAAACAGAATCGTATCGGATACCTTTTGTGCATTCAAAGGCTGCCCTTTCTCCCTGCGTTCTAATTCTAGGTCTCCGAGGCACTCCTACCCAGAAGAAAAGAGTGACTTAAGGGAAGCAGAAGACAAGCTAGAGCAGATCCATCTGGATCAGGAGCCAGCTTCTCCGACGGTCCTCCGGTTTGGATGCGGGCCTTCAAGCTTTCTGAAATTCGTCCCTGCTTCTCCTTCATTCGATCAGAGTGAAACAGAAGCAGAACTGGAGGGGCAGCAAAAGCTCACCGAAGTGGTGGATATTAGAGAGGAGAGCCAGGGTATGACACAAGAGAATGAACATGAAGAAGAGGAGGAAGAAAAGCAGGAGGTAAGAGCAAAAACCCCACCCCTCCACCCCAGCCCAATCTCATTTGTATGCCGCTGGTGCCTGGTGCCGATGAAACCAAAGCTGTAGGTCTGAACAAGTGTTCTAGGGCTTGATCCTAGTAAATTTTCCACACTCCGTACACAAGCCATTTTTCCAGGTGCTCCAAGATGAAGATGGGTAACTAAGTTGGAGACGATTTGGTGTGGTGGTTAAGTGCGCAGACTCTAATCTGGGAGAACCGGGTTTGATTCCCCACTCCTCCACTTGCAGCCAGCTGGGTGACCCTGGGCCAGTCATAGTTCTCTCCGAGCTGTTCTCTCAAGAGCAGTTCTCTCAGAGCTCTTTCAGCCCCACCTACCTCACAGGGTATCTGTTGTGGAGAGAGGAAGGGAAAGGAGATTGTAAGCCACTCTGAGTGAAGGGTGGGGTATAAATCCAACTCTCCTCCTTCTCCTGGAATAGGTAGGCTAAGCTAAAAAGGAGGCAATTGGGCCTTGTGGAAATAGACAATTGATGGTTATACGGAGGTTGAAGATCTCGAGAAAAATCTTGTGCTGCTGGGTCTGGAGGTTTCCAACTGTTTATTGAAAAGACAGATGTGACCTGGGTGTTTTTGTTGCTCATCTGGCCCACTAAATTAAGCTCTAGAAGCTAGCATGAGTACCCTGTGCAACCTCTCTTGCCCTGCCTTATTGGTTACACACAGCATCAGCCATGCCAACTGCTGGCATACAGGTGGTCTACAAATGTGTTGCTCTTGTGTACAAGCAGTTTAGTTTAGTTTCATTATTACGGTCTTAAGAGCAACATACAGAGTAAGCATAATATGTGAGGGCGAGAAGAAGCAAAACCACCAGTCATAATATACAAAAATAGAAATCTGAATTTAAGAACTTTTAAAATGCGATTCCCGCAATCTAAGAATGAATGCACAAAACTCAGTGACTGAACGTGCAATCTCTACCTTCTTTATCTGATAGGAGCCAGTGAAGCCTGGCTTTGTTTGTGTTAATGTGACCAGGTGTCCTATCCACTAATGGGGTAATAATTTTAAGACGAGCCTCCCTGTAAAATGGACAGCTGAAGAACATGTGCTCTACTGACTCAACCTCGCTTAAAAGGCACGGGAAAAGCCTTTCAGAGTAGGGGGCTTTATTGTACCTGCCTTGAATAACCGCAGATGGAAGGGCAGAACATCTAGCTAGGGCAAAATGCCCTTCTAGAATTCTTTCCCTCCACTGAAGTCAAATATATTGCCGGCTCAATGGTGTTTTTGATATTTAACAACACCCCGAGTATGGAAGCCTTAGAGAGGTCAGATTGTCGCTCAATATCCTCAACTCTTTGTTTCATTAGCCCTTTGGCTTGTTCAGTATACAAGCAGTGCCTTGCTGACTTTGTCAATCACTTTATGTTCAGGAGAAGAAGAGAAGGAGGGATGAAGAGGAAAAGGCACCTGGGAAGCGCCAGAGAGCTCCAAGCGTTTCCAGCCTGGAGGAAGAGGGTCAGCCTCCTTTGAGTCCTACCATGAAGGTGTGTTTCTACAAATATAAGCTTTTAGTCATGCTGGGACGGTTTATACAATGAAATAAGAACATCCGTGAGCAAAAGTACAGGATTAATCTCTTCTTTCCCCCTCTTGCAGCCTTAGTTTGGTGTAGTGGTTGAGTGCGCGGACTCTAATCTGGGGGAACCAGGTTTGATTCCCTACTCCTCCACTTGCACCTGCTGGATGACCTTGGGCATAGTTCTGTCAGAGCTCTCTCAGCTCCCCCTACCTCACAGGGTGTCTGTTGTGGGGAGGGGAAGGGAAAGGAGTTTGTAAGATGCTCTGAGACTCCCTTGGGTAGTGAAGGGTGGGGTAAAAATCCAATCCAATCTCTTTTCTTCTTCTTCTTAGTTTGACATTTCTGAATGGGTCAGAAAGCTGTCAGTTTTATGCAGGGGTCGTTTCGTAGAAAAAGAGCTAGGGGAACTCATTAGCATATGCCACACCCCCTGACATCACCGGAAGTGTGTCATAAGGCCACACCCCCTGACATCACCGGAAGTGTGTCATAAGGCCACACACCCTGCCCCCAACGGTCCTGGCCGCCGCCGCCGGCCTTGCAGCTCCACTGCCGAGCCCCATGAGGGGCCCGGCGGTGGACCTGCAAGGCCGGCGGGAGTGCAAGGAAGCCCCGCGAAGGCCCTCCCTGGCCCCAGGCAGGCAGGGGTGGGGAGAGGAAGGGAGGAAGCAACTTACCCTCCCTCTTCTCCTGCCTCCTCCTGGCTGAATGAGGTCCGGAAGCGGGGCGGCCGGAAGCAGGGGGCGGGGCTTCGTCATGTGCCCCACCCCCCGTACCTCACCCGGGGGAACTGCGATCCCCCGCGATTCCCCCCGAAATGACCTCTGGTTTTATGTGTTTTATAGACCACTAACTGATGTGCTGACAGTCTGTTCTATCCATTCTTCAGATCACTGAGAGAACCGAATCACTGAATTTTTTGAACCGCTCCATCGAGAGGAGGTAACTTCCAACCCTACTGCTGTGTGATCTTAGTGTTTCCATTGGTTAAAAGCAGCTATATTGAAAACACTTGTTGAAGAAAGGGACTGGACGGATTTCTTTTTGGTACCATGACCAGAAATCATGGTATTTTTTCCCTTACCCACAGCAAAACATTATGTCTGAATACAGTGGTTATGGATTTGCCACAAACAAGGATGCGAAACCATGCTTTGCGTTAACCAAGGTTAAGTATTATAGCTGCAGTGAGCAAACCACGGTCATGGCAGTTTTCCTGGTCTCTCTTGTCTAAGAGGTGGCAAAAGCCATGGTCACTCTTAATATATGATGGAAAGGGGGTAGGACTTGGCTTGGCATGCTAAGGTATGGGTCCTTCAGCATCTGGGCTAAGATGCCAGACCATAGATAAGTATAATGTCTGCAGTGGTCCTTGCTGCGTGGATGGAGTGGCATTTATTGTTAATGGCGAATTGGAGGGGCCAGTGTGAATCTGATGGAAAATGGATTGCGGAGCGAATGATAGCCGAGTTGAGTCTGCGGTGTCCAGCCTGAAGTCCTCTTCCCACCAATCTTCTGCTCTCCTTCCAGTAATAGTGTGAAGAAGACACAGTCGCCTCTCCCAGTTTCCAAGATTGATGACAAGCTTGAGCAGTACACTCATGCCATTGAGGTGAGGTGGAGACACTTAGCTCTGTTATCAACGTTCACTATTGCAGTTTCTAAGATTGTCTTGTGCGTGTACTCCTTTCCTTGTTCCGAGGTTTTTTACTTTACCTGACAGAGGCTTTGAAAATCCAACAAGAGTCCAGTGGCACCTAAAAGGCTAATATTTATATATCAATTATGAGCTTTCAAAAAACCCTGCTGGTATCGGCTCCTAGGCTGTGAAAAGAGGGTAGAGTAAATCCTACGCATTGGATCCAGCAACTGGCATTACTTTGGAAATACTATACTTGGTATAGACAGTAAAGGTAAAGGTCCCCTTGCTCGAAAGCCAGTCGAGTCCGACTCTAGGGTTGCGGTGCTCATCTCCGTTTCCAAGCCGAAGAGCCAGCGCTGTCCGAAGACGTCTCCATGGTCATGTGGCCGGCATGACTAAACACCAAGGTGCACGGAACGCTGTTACCTTCCCACCGAAGTGGTCCCTATTTATCTACTTGCAATTTCTTGCTTTCGACAGTATAGACAGTAGCCAGGGGTCATTTCGTAGAAAAAGAGGTGCAGGAGCTCATTAGCAGAACTCATTAGCATAACTTATTTGCATATCACCGGCATCACTTATTTGAATAACTGACATCACCGGAAGTGTGTCAGAAGGCAACACCCACCGCTCAGGCTCCACTGGACTGTTTTGGATTGCTAGCTATTGGGGGGAGGAACGTGCTGCCTCGCTTCCCTGTCAGTGGCTTCCCCCCGGCATCTGATCGTGCCAGGGAGGAAGTGCGCGGCGGCTCAGGGGATCTATGTGTCTCTTTTGGTGCGACTTCAAAAAGCCGCACTTTGCCCATGTTTCCCCCCCCCCATGTGGCAGGGGCCAAAGTTAGTCTTTACGCTAGATGTGTTCCAGAATGTACCCTGTGTCAGGGCACCTGCTTGCACCCTGGTTGACAGAAGGTGGTAGCACAAAGTTGTTATATACCAAAATCCCTGCCTTAAGGTCAATAATCTACCTTTCACATTTGAGCTGAAGCAGGAACGCAATGGGGCAGAATACTGCCTGCTTGGAGATAAAGAGTAAACAGGATGTGATCATAAAACCAGTGGTGCACAGTTCCCTTATTAGGAGCCTAATGAGTAAAGACCACCCTCTTTCACTCCTACCTATATATTTTTCAGACTTCTAGCAAGACCCCCAAGCCAGCCCGTCAGCTTTCCATTGACCTGCCTGCCAACAGTGCCGTAGTGGCCAGCACAAAGTGTCTTTGGGAGACCGGTGAGGTTGCCGTTCAGTCCCCTGTGAGGACAACACCCTGTAAGGTAGGACTTTGGGCTTAGTGAGTTTGTACTGTTAAGGAAAGGCTAAATCTACATGAAGGAATGAATGCAATGGGGGAAAAGAAGCCTTCTTGCAGAAAGGAAACTGTTTCTACATTTTTGAGCACATGCTCAAAGTCAGATGGGATAGCATTTATTGGTTGATACAAGTGTTGGTGCCCTTTAAAACATACCTCTTGCACTGAGGGCGTTGCAAATGTTAGCTTTAGAAGGCATTTGTGTTTAAAGGAAGTTTTTGTTGCAATAGCTATGCCTCTGTTTGTAGGACATTGTGGCTGGAGACATTGTGAGTATGAGAAGCCTTTGGGAGCAGAAGGAGACCACAAATGCAGATGGAAGTGCTAAGGTGAGGTTTTGTGTTTTCTATTGGGTGGTTGGGGGCCCCACCAGACAAACAGCTGAAGGGAATCTTCCTTGAAGACCAGCAACCAAGGATGCCTTTCTGTGGCTTGAAGTAGGGTTGCCAAGTCTATTTACCTTGGCGGTGGGGGAGCCTCGCGGGGCTCCGGGAGCTGTAGGTGGACGTGCGCCCCGATCGGAAGTGACGCGTGACCTCGATCACGTTGAGGACGTGGCCCCGATCATCGAGTTTTCCCTCTGGGCCACGCCCCCAACATGATCGATCGGGGCCTGATTCCGCGGTGGCAGAGGACATCGGGCCTCCAAAGCAGGGGTTTACCTGCCCCCCGCCCCCACTTGGCAGCCCTAGCTTGAAGTGGTTTTCTTCTCTTAGTGTGCAAACTGCTCATGTGTGTCTGGTGGTCAGTTGACATGACTGGACTGCTGTATGCATATCTGGTTTAAACTGGGGTGGAAAAGTTGCAGGAATAGGAAACGGCTTCCAAGTGGTCATGTGACTTGCTCCTGCCAAACAGGGCACTTGATGCTCCTAAAATGCTTCCTCAAGGGTTTACATTTGGAGAATGTAACCCAGCATTTGCCCTGTGAAATTCACTAGTTTGATTAATAAGAAATGGTTTAGCATATAGAGTAGTAGTTATTTTCTGAGTAAACTTCCTAGACTTGTATTAAGAGCAGAAGAACAGACCTGTTGGATCAGACCAGTAGTCCATCTAGTCCAGTATCCTGTCTCATACAGTGGCTACTCAGTTCCTCTGGATGACCAACATGGCAGAGAGGCAGAGGCCTTCCCCCGATGTTGCCTCCTGGCTCTGGGATTCAGAGGCTTAGTGCCTCTGAATGTGGAGGTTCTCCTCCGTCACCATGGCTAGTAGCCGTTGATAGACTCCTCCCTCATGAATCTATCTAATCCCCTTTTAAAGCTGTTTATTCCTGTGGCCGTCACTACATCCTCTGGCAGTGAATTCCATTTTTAATCACTCTGTATAAAGTGGTGTTTCCTTTTGTCCCTCCTGAGCCTACTGCCCATCGGCTTCATCGGATGCCATTGAGTTCTAGTATTTTGGGAGATAAAAAGTTCTCTTTGTCAACTCTCTCCGCCCTGTGCATGATTTTATAAACCTATATCTCTTTTCTGAGACTGAGAAGTCCCAGGCTCTTCAGCCTTTCTTCATAGGGAAGGTGCTCCAGTCCCCTAATCATCTTGGTTGGCCTCCTCTGCATTTTTTCCAGCTCTGCAATGTCCTTTTGGAGACTTGGTGACCAGAACTGTACACAGTATTCCACAGGGCTCTTTTTGTAGAAAAAGCCCAGCAGGAACTCATTAGCATAATAGGCCACACCCAACAGCAAAACCTATTAGCATATTAGGCCACCCCCCTGACAGCACTGCTCATTAGCACATTAGGCCACACCCCCATGTTACCAGAAGTGTGATCATCCAGCCACACCCACCTTTCCCTTCTTATTCTGTTTACCTTGTCTGTTGTCAAAACCCAGGGCCTTTTTTGTAGCAGGAACTCCTTTGCATGTTAGGCCACACACCCCTGATGTAGCCAATCCTAATGAGTTTCTGCTCATTGGGTGTGGCCTATTATGCTAATGAGTTCCTGCTGGGCGTGGCCAACTTAGGAGCAAGCCGGAACTCCGTTCCTGTGCGCTCCTGCCCAAAAATAGCCCTGGATTCCATATTAGGCCACACCATAGGTCTATACAATTGCAATTTGGCTGTTCTATTCTCACTCCCTTTCCTAATAATCCCTAACAGAGAGTTTGCCTTTTTCACCGCTACAGCACACTGGGTTGACACTTTCATTGAGCTATCCAACAGGACCCCAAGATCTTTTTTCCTCTCAGCCTCAGCAGGTTCAGACCCCATTCGCCTATACTTGAAGTTGGGATTTTTTGTCCCAGTGTGCATCACCTTACCCTTACCAAACACTGAACTTCCTTACTCAGATCGCCTTTGTCTGTGCAATTTTGGCGAAATTGAAACCTTAGATCATCTGATGTTTCGCTGTCCCCACTGGACTCAAGTTAGAGGCACTTATATCTCTCCTATTCTTACGAAGATGAATCTTCCCGCGCAACCTTGGGCGCTTTCAGTTCTGTTATCTGACTCAAATGCTGATGGACTGATAACAGCTAACGTGGCGCGGTTCCTGGCTAAGGTGGCTGCTCTCAAGAAGCATTGAAAATTCCAACGCTTCTGAAAACTTCGACACCGACTTTTAATCTTCGGATGATTTTAGTTAGTTGGCTCCGCCCCAAGTGTAGTTAGGTAATTTTTAATCTCTGGGCTCAGCCTGGGTTTTATGTGACTGTGATTATGTACCTTGACACATTTATGTCTATTTTATGTACCTATTTTATCCCCCTTTGGTATCCTCTTGGTCAAGACTTCGGTCATATAGACCTGTAATAAATTGAATTGAAAACACTGAACTTCATTTGCCATTTTGTTGCCCCCTCACGTGGTTTGTGGAGGTCCTCTAGGAGTTCTTTACAGTCAGTCTTGGTTTTCACCATCCTGAACAATTTTGTGTTGTCTGCGAATTTTGCCACTACACTATTCACCCCTTGTTCCAGATCATTTAATCAAACCCGGTTCTCCCAGATTAGAGTCACTTAACCACAACACCAAACTGGCTCTCTCATGAATCTCCTTCATGAATCTATCTAATCCCCCTTTAAAATATGGAATTCACTGCCAGAGGATGTAGTGACAGCCACAGGAATAAACAGCTTTAAAAGGGGAATAGATAGATTCATGAGGGAGATTCATGAGAGAGCCAGTTTGGTGTCGTGGTTAAGTGTGCGGACTCTAATCTGGGAGAACCGGGTTTGATTCCCCACTCCTCCACTTGCACCTGGCTGGATGACCTTGGGCAAGCCGTAGTTCTGATAAGAGTTGTTCTTAAAAAAAGAACAGTTTCTGTCAGAGCTCTCTCAGCTCCACTGACCTCACAGGGACCGATTTCACACAAGAACTGTGCTGTGGTCGCGCCTCCCTTTGCCCCACTTCTATTGGTCAATTTCCCACTCGAAGCCGCGCGGCCGCATTTTGAGTCGTGGCTTTGCCCGATTTCCCCCGCAGTTCCATGATCCTGTTTTTTTGAGGATCACGAAACCGCGGGGAAAATCAGGCGAAGTCGCTGGTCAAAATGCAGCCGTGCGGCTTCGAGTGGGAAACTGACCAATAGAAGTGGGGCAAAGGGAGGCAGCTCTTGTGTGAAATCGGTGAGGGTGTCTGTTGTGGGGAGGGGAAGGGAAAGGTGTTTGTAACCTACTCTGAGATACCTTCTTCTTTTACCTCACAGGGTGTCTGTTGTGGGGAGGAGAAGGGAAAGGAGATTGTAAGCCGCTCTGAGACTCCTTTGGGTAGTGAAGGGCGGGGTATAAATCCAATTTCTTCTTCTTCTTCTACCTCACAGGGTGTCTGTTGTGGGGAGGGGAAGGGAAAGGAGTTTGTAAGCCGCTCTGAGACTCCTTCGGGTAGTGAAGGGCGGGGTATAAATCCAATCTCTTCTTCTTGTTTTACCTCACAGGGTGTCTGTTGAGGGGAGGGGAAGGGAAAGGGAAAGGAGATTGTAAGCCAGTCTGAGACTCCTTTGGGTAGTGAAGGGCGGGGTATAAATCCAATCTCTTCTTCTTCTTCTACCTCACAGGGTGTCTGTTGTGGGGAGGGGAAGGGAAAGGCGTTTGTAAGACACTCTGAGACACCTTTGGGTAGTGAAGGGAGGGATATAAATCCAATCTCTTCTTCTTCTTAAATAATACTGGCTCCAGTACGGGGACCCCATTGCTTGCTTCCCTCCATTGTGACAACTGTCCATTTATTCTTAGTCTTTGCTTCCTGTCCTACTCTTGTGGAATCCTTCTGGGCCTATGCATAGATGTTCCCTCCTTTTGAGGTTAAGATCACTTGTGGTAACTTAATCTAGGCTTACCTAGTGCAATAACTAGACCAAAGTTACATCGCTTTAAAATACTGAATGGGGAGGTAGGTATTTTCTCCTGAAAGTTCTCCCATTTGTTTCCTCCTGCTTAGGTAAAACTTCCAGGCAAGAAGTACAAGTATGTGGCAACTGGACATGGCCAATACAAGAAGGTGCTGGTAGATGACGAGGACACAGAAAAATAGCCTGCTTGGGCCGCAAATGTGTGGGTAGGTACAGCGGACAATGACTGCAAGCTCAGAGTGTGTGCCTTTGGCTGTTACTACATTTGGACTCTCTCAAAACCACGGTGCCATAACTTTCTTTGACAGAACTTTCTAAAAGTAAGCAATAGCTCCTTATGACTCAAGATGACTATACTGATTTGTCTTAAACAGTATTCATAGAATCACAGAATCACAGAGTTGGAAGGGCCCATACAGGCCCTCTAGGCCAACCCCCTGCTCAATGCAGGATCAGCCTAGAGCAGTGGTGGCGAACCTACGGCACGGGTGCCAGAGGTGGCACTCAGAGCCCTCTCTGTGGGCACGCGTGCCATTGCCCCAGCCAGGCCCAGACCATCATTAAAGTGTCGAGTTCTCTGCCAAATAATTTTAAGTAAATGAAAGCATTTGGGATTGTTTTCCTTACTTTGTTTGGATCATCTGAAGTTAATGTATGAGTTGTTTTTTCTAAAGTAAAACCTCAGTATTCAGGTTAAATTGCCGTGTTGGCACTTTGCGATAAATAAGTGGGTATTGGGTCGCAGTTTGGGCACTCGGTCTCTAAAAGATTCGCCATCACTGGCCTAGAGCATCCCTGACAAGTGTTTGTCCAGACATGGCTTAAAGACTGTCAGTGAGGGGGAGCTCACCACCCCCCTAGGCAGCTGATTCCTCTGTTGCACGACTCTTCCTGTAAAAAAAGTTTTCCTAAATTCCCGCCCTTAATTTAAACCCATTATTTCAAGTCCTATCCTCTGCTGCCAACAGGAACGGCTCCCTGCCCTCCTCTAGGTGACAGCCCTTCAAATACTTCAAGAGAGAAGTCATGTCCCCCCTCAACCTCCTCTTCTCCAAACTAAACATTCCCAAGTCCCTCAGCCATTCCACATAGGGTGTGGTCTCCAGTGATAGCGTGATGTGCTGTGATGAGAATAGGAAAGCTTGTCAACTTTCTGGTAGTGATGTCTGACGCGCATGAAAGACAGATCCCCCCCCCATAGAAATACTTTATTTAATCTTTATACACAAATTAACTCCTCTCATCTTGAATCTGGTGGCTGGGTGATATGGAAATGGCATCTAGAGTACAGACTGTATCTGGCTATGGAAGGAAATCCCCAAGGGACAACCTATAATCAATTCAATTCAATCACCTTTATTGGCATTGACATTAAAAAAGAATAATCTACAAAAGATAAGGTAAGAACGAAAACCGATCAAGGAGAAAACCGTTCTAATATAGTCTAACCTATAACCATCTGGTGAAGGGCCCTAGTGCCTGTTAACCAGAATCAAAAAGGTGCCAACTCACATCTCCCTTTCTTCTTAGTACATCCTACCTCTCACTTCTCAGTTCTCGACCATGGCTGCTTCTCTAGCACTTAACGCATTTTGCTTTCAACATTACCTCAAAACAGGCTTGTGGCCCCGGTCACACGGGTCAGATAACACGGGGGGGAGGTGTGGCTGTTTGCCCCGGAGCAAAATAAAGCGCGGTAGCCCGATCACACGGTCCCCCGAGTCTCCGCGCTTCGGCTGTTAGCTGGCGATCACACGGCGATGCTGCAGCGTGGCAAAGAAATGGAGCGGTGCGATCACACAAGTGTTTCGCGTTTGTGCGCATGCGCAGTTCAGCGGAGCAGCACTGCTTTCAGTTTCGTGTTTGTGCGCATGCGCTTACAAAAAGCATCTGGTTTGCGACGGGATGTGGACGGGCGCCTGATGCCATGGGATACTAGCGCTCCCGCGATCAGACGCCCACCTGTGCCGCACGTTTTCCAGATACTAGTGCACTTTCCTTGGTACTTTTTAACTCCGCATCTTCGGTGGGATGCCACGAGTTGGCCACGGGTGCGCTACGCTTCCCAGATGTTGCGGTGTGATCGCGCCCTGGAAATCCACCCGACATTCGTGCCTTTCGTGCGGCAAAATGTCCGTGTGACCGGGGCCTGTATTTCTTTACCTGTCATCTGAAGCCTACATACTCATTCTTAGTTGAGTCTCTCCACACATCTGAGCCATCACTGGATACAGGGTGTCTATGAAACTTAAGCCTTACTTTTCATATCCATTTTAAAAGAAAAGGGGAATTGATAGTGAAAACCAGCTCATGGCCTACATCTGATGTGTGCAGTCCAGTATCTAAAGCTCGTAAGTTAAAACAAACAAACAAACAAACTGGGCTTACTTCCTGAGTTTGTGATGCCATACAGGGTGCCTTCAGATCCTTTCTTTTTCTTATCATTTCAAGTTCACCTCCTCTTGGGTGGTCGTAAGGAGTGTGGGGCTCAGAATTAGTGAAGATATTCAAGTTCAGGAGGTTTCTACCAGTGTCCAGATAAGGGGCACATTTTCTTTCAGTGCTGCTAGTGTGAAAAGGGCTCAAAGTACATGCCCCAACTGGAAGGAAATATGTATCTCTCCAGTGGATGGATTCTGGCTTGTGCATCTGGGTAGGCAGGAAATGACACTCCGGGCTTGCTGCAGATCTCTGCCTCTGAGTCCTCTCCTTATGCCACTATTGTAAAGCAGAAGGTGGCAAGAAGCCTCTGCCGTTGCACACACATCCAGACTGGAGCTATCTTCCTGTAGGAACGCCCTGTTTGTCTCTTCTTAAGGATGTCTGTAAAGCTGCGGTGGCTCAAGTGGTTAAGATGCTGAACTGCAGGCTGTGGAAGGTCAGTAGTTCAGCAGTTCGAGACCCGAGTGCCGCATGACAGAGTGAGCTCCCATCTCTAGTTCCAGCTCCTGCCAACCTAGCAGTTCGAAAGCAAGAAATTGCAAGTAGATAAATAGGTACCACTTCGGTGGGGAGGTAACAGCGTTCCATGTGCCTTGGTGTTTAGTCATGCCGGCCACATGACCACGAAAACGTCTTCGGACAGCGCTGGCTCTTCGGCTTTGAAACGGAGATGAGCACCGCAACCCTAGAGTTGGACTCGACTGGCTTTCGAGCAAGGGAACCTTTACCTTTTAAACCTTCTCTATAAACTTTTAACTATTAAAAGTGGCACATACTTGACAAATATACTTTGAAATATTAAAGCGATTCAAAGCCATCACTCAGTTCCAAAGCAAGAAGAACTTAACACTCCCCAACTTTTTCAGCCATTTCACAAAATATGGCTAGAGATCCTGTAACTACCCCCTCCGCACGGTTTACAAATCCAAAGCAGGCATGCTTGAAAGATATTAAGTTTTTCAAACACATTCCAGTGTGTGACAGAATAGTTCTTGAAAGCAGCAGCAACGCACGTGTCAGGATCTCTTGTTCTCTGCAAATAATGTTGGTGCTGCCTTAAAGGTCAATAAAATAATCTCTCTCCTCTCAAAATACACATAGGTTGAGTTTTGATTACCAGAAGGGGAATGTTAGTCCACCTACCAAGGGACATATTTCCCCCCTTCACTGCTAGTACAAAATACATCAATTGGGAGAGAATGCGTACCTCGGTATGGCCACAGGGCCAGGGCCGGCTCGGTATTTCACTGCCCCAAGTATGGTAGGGGTGGTTATGAAGGTCTGGGAAGTAATGTCTGAGCTGAACTGAGCTGAGCCAAACTTCTCACTTTCATACAGCCATCTGGAAAATGAGCTTCAGAAGCAGTATTGGAACCACTGGAGCTCATCTTGCATCTTTGGGACACATCTGTGGTGCACATTGCTGCCTCCTGCACTTCTGCCCTTGTCAAATGGGGTCTGAAACAGTCACCTTGAGTAGCTTGGATGGTGAACCAACCCCAACCCCCCCCCCCCGAAGGGCACACCCGGACTCATATATGGATGTTTCCCTCTTTGGAGCTGAAAGGGTGTGTGTGTTAAATAGAGCTATGTATGCAATATGATTATCTCTATATGGTTTTTAGTTTTTTATGATATAGGTGAATATCCAGAGGGATTTTAGTTTTTTATGATATAGGCGACTGTAACGCATAGTACTTTAAACACGGCCGCTTTGCCACGTGTTCCTTTAACTGCATTACGAGCGATGCTTTCTTGCATCCTGTACGGAACACCCAAGCAAACGTCTCTAGCTGCCAGTTGGGAACCTTCAAAGCCTTATTCCACCATCCATTCATAACAAGGCACAGCAGGCTCCTGAAGCCTTTGATCTTCAGAGAGAATGCTGAGTGGTCATGTCCTACTATTGGTACAGTATCTTAAATAGTCACTCAGTCAGGGCTCATTTTGTAGCAGGTACTCATTTGCATATTAAGTGACACACCCCTAATGTAGCCAATCCTCCAGGAGCTTACGGTAGCCCCTGTAAGAAGAGCTCTGTAAGCTCTTGGAGGATTGGATATATTAGGGGTGTGTGGCCTAATATGCAAAGGAGTTCCTGCTACAAAAAGAGCTCAAATAGGCCTGCCAAGTCCCCCCGGGGGGCGGGGAAACCTCCGCCCCAGAGGCCCGTTTCCCGCCGCTGCCGGATCGGGCCCCGGGGGGAACTCCACCCTGACGTGCACATCACCAGGAAGTGACGTGACCGCGCCGGGCATGCTGGGGGCGGGGCCACGGTCATCCAAGGGAAAACTCTATGGTTTTCCCTCGGATGGTCGTGGCCCCGCCCCCAGCGTGCCCTGCATGGTCACGTCACTTCCTGGTGATGTGAATGTGGCGCGTGCGCTCCTGGATCGGCCCGGGAGTCCCCTGCTTCAGGAGAATGGGGGACTTGGCAACCCTAGTCTCAAATGTATCCCCTTTAGATAACTGCAGGCATTGTGAAAGTATACTTGGAATCCTGTTAATAATAAGCCTGTTTTTAGCCAGGAATGGGCTAATCTTTTCCTGGAATCTCAGGTAATGAGGGAGCCAAATTAGGCAAGAGGCTTGCTTGTTGTGTGAAATGCAGCTGTGGAAGTCACAATCAATGTGGTTAGGAGAAACCTGACCTCCTTCCCATTTCCCCCCTTGCCAATTCCTCCCCCTCGGAGCTACTTTTCATGGAATGAAAAGCAACTTGGAGCAAACACATAATGGGAAAGGGTCGAGGCATTCCTCCCCA